ACACAGGCAGCGATGTCCCGGAGGCCGGGGCACCAGTATTTGGGGCCGCCTGGCGGTGCCCACTCCACTGAACACCCTCTAGCCCCATATCTCCTGCAGCGTCTTACAGTCGGTCCCAGAGCCGGTGGCCTGCAGACAAAGGAAGGAGCGCAAAACTCTTTCTTCTTTCACAGACCCGAAGGTCCCCTTCAGCTGGTCAGAAGAGGACATCTCCGACCTGTACAACCACACCACCATACTGCTCGCGGCTGAAGGCAAGAAGGGCCTCCCCTCACAGCACCGTCCTCGTCACGTAGCCAAGCACGCGTCCCCACCCCTCCACGGAGCTCCCTCCGTTTTAGAAGCGTCTTTCCAAGACGTTCCTGCCACTTCCACAATGCAGTGTTAACTCTAACTATTGCTAAGTACAAAAAAAAAAGATTGAAAAATGCTAACTGTCGCTGCCACATTTATAGGGCTTCAGCCGTTAGCGTCTGTGGGGGTCACGTGAAGAAGAGGCGCCTGCGGTATTTGCATGTTTTCTGCTGATGCCTTTTTTCTTCCCCGCAGTGTTTTATGACGATGACCTAACCGATGCTCTGTTTAAGACACTCTACCGACTCGCTCACAAACTGAAGAACGCCTGCACGGCCATCCTCTCCGTGGAGAAGAGGTGAGGCCCGCACTGGGAGGGTGGGGGCGGCCACGCTGGTGTCCCGAGAGCCGGACCCACCTCCTAAACACGTTCTCATCGGCGTCGTCGGCACTCACTTAGCGAGCATTTGTCACACGTCCTTTACACACGTGGCTTCTTTCAGTCCACATACCAGCCCCACTCGTGTGTGGGCGCCGCACCCCTACTCCTCAGATGCAGAGAGGAAGTTCCGAGAGGCAGGGGACCTTCCAGGCCACAGCGAGTCAGCGGGCGGATGAGGACGTGAGGGCAGGTCGTGCGCCAGAGCTGAGTGAGACACGTGGCCACCGCACTCTGAGGGGGGGGGCCTCTCCTCCTTCCCTCCGGACGCCATCGGTCTCTGCAGGTGCCCCAGGTCCCCATCCTCTCCCTGCTGCAGACACAGCCCCTCCAGGACACTTCTGAGTGAGCGTCCTACACTTTAGGGCCCCCGCTGGTGGAGCGTCCATCTTGTGAGAGACGTAGTGCTTAACACTCTGCACAGTCTTCGCTGATTCTTAGGATCATCAGCTTTCTGTAGACAGTTTGGAATACGTAGCAAAAGCCATAAAACTGAACATACTACTGACATCCAGCAGTTCGGCATTCTAGAAGTTCTAGAAGTTCGCCCTGTGGAAGCGAGGAAGCGGTCGCGGCTCTGTACAAAGCCATCCATACGGGCGCGTCCTTCGTTTGTGTCGATGCTGCGTAGGACTTCCCTCAGGGCACGGGTGACCAAGCGCCGCATGTGGGGCTCACTTGGATTTTGGTTTTATAGACCATTAGGAAAAAAATCGAAAAGTCAGGAAAAGTTAAACACTGACTGGATATTTTATGTTGAAGAATTATTGTTAAATTTGTTTTAGGCGCAAAGAGTCTTTATCTTTTCAAGATACACGTGGACATATTTACAGAAGGAGTACTGTGATGTCTGGCACTTGCTTTTTCACCTGGCGCTGGAGGAAGGGCAGGGGTGACAGAGTGGCCGTGAGTTGACAGTGGTTGAAGCTTGGCCATGCATCACACTGTTCTCACTCCTTCCATGTGTTTGAAATTTTTCGTGATAAAAGATTTTGGAAAGGGGAAAAAAAAAGGTGAAGAGTTCGAATCTCAAGTTGAATCCTGTTGCTGATGAGAGCGTAGCACAGTGTGAGTGGCCGGGCCGGGGACACCCTGTGAGGGCTCAGTTCCGAAGTCACCACCTCCGAAATCTCGGCCACCTCGCCCAGCTTCCCAGCGGCATTCCCTCTGGCCACCGGGCTCTCACAGGCCTCTGCACTGCCCTCGGCCACTGCGCGTTGTCTGTGCGTTACACACGAAGTCCTGTACAAGCCACGCGCCGCATCCATGCAGGCACACGCGGAGCCCCGGCCTTAGGCATTGGTCTGCGGCCACCTCTTGCACCAATTTGTAGCTCCTCGGGGCAGTGGTGTTACTTCGGGCATGGGAGTCCACCTCTCTGAGCCTCAGTTTCCACACCTGTAAAATGGAGGTGGTAGCGTCTCCACCTCCCGGGCTGCCCTCCAGGCTCAGGCAGGAAGTGTGCACCGATGCTCAGCACACAGTAGGCGCTCAGTGGAGACCCACCGAAGTGAGGGAGGGCGGGGGCAGCAGGAGGGCGAGCCGTGAGGGCACGCCCAAACCCCCGTGGTGACGGGCAGTGGGTCGGCTGCTGCTCGCTTGCAGGCTGAACTTCACTCTGAGTCACCTGGACGTCACGTGCGAGGCCTACGACCACTTCCGCTCCTGCCTGCACCAGCTGGAGAAGCTGGAGGACGGCCAGCTGCGCTTTGCAGTCGAGCAAGTGGACGCCTCCTTCCCGCAGCACCTCATGTACGAGCGCATCCAGCAGCTGGTAGGTGCGGCCGCCCGCCCGGGGGCCACATGTCGTTCTGCTGTGACGCCGTTGACTCCCGGGGCAAAGCGCTCTTTTTAGCGAAGCCTGTGGTGGGATCTCACCCTGCTCTCAAAGGTCGCCGTGTCCGCGGAGGGCCTGCCAGTTGACTTGCTGACTTTATAGCATGTGCTTTTCCGGTGGGCAGTTCAGACCCAGAGGAAGCAGGACCGAGGGTGGAAGGTTGTTCTGATGCAGGGACTTCGGTGCTGATGGTCACATCTTCACTGAGCAAATAGCTGGCCTCTCGGACTAGGCAGGCCCGTCTAGTGACTGGCGACCCTTCTGACCCTGCCCGAGGGGATTCCAGCATGTTAGGCCTCTGAGTAATCCTCCTAATGACACCTGTGCAGGTGCCGTGCTAAGCTCTTTTCGTCCACTGTCTCAGATCATGCCACGGTGAGTCACCCAGCCGGGAAATGGCAGAGCTGGGACTTCATCCTACAGCCACGGCACTTCCTGTCACTGTTTTTAAACCCAGCACTTGGGAGAATTTTGGAAATTAACCCTTAAAACTCCCTGAACATCTCCAGGAGCTGGATTTGTAGATGTCCAGAGGTCGAGCATTCACGTCCCTCGTGGTCTCTACCTTTCGGCTGCGGCCTCCTTTCTCTGGGCCTGTGGAGACCTGGGCCCAGTTCTGAGAGGAACGAGGAGGGGGTGACGCTGGGCCCTCTCTCTCAGAGCCAGCGTGGCTCTGCATTTGGGCGAGGACGTGTGTTCCGTGCCACTGAGTCGGCTCCGACTCCTGGTGACCCTGTGGCTGCGCGGTGTCCACAGTGTCCTGTCCACCACAGCTCCGCTCAGCTCCTGTAGACAGAGACCTCTGGCTTCTTCTAGAGCGCTGATCCATCTCGTATTCGGTCTTCCTCTTTTGCTGCTGCCTTCTGTTTTCCCAGCATTATTGTCTCCTCCAAAGAACCCTGCCTCCTCACTGCTGCCTTCTGTTTTTCCCAGCATTATTGTCTTCTCCAAAGAACCCTGCCTCCTCGTGGTGTGCGCGAAGTAGGACAGCTTCGACTGTGTCCTTTTCGCCTCCAGTGACGTTTCAGGCTTAATTTGCTCTAGGACCCACTTGTTGGTCTTTCCGGTGGTCCAGGCTGTTCCTGCGCCATACTTCCAATGAACCCGTTTTTCCTGTCAGCCTCCACTGTCCCACTCCCCCCTTCCGTTTATTCCTCCACCACCTCTGGGCAGCGTCGCCTCCCGGTAGACGGCAGACAGAGGCCGCTTCTGCTGGTGAGGATGCGGGGCGTCCGCCAGGAACCTGGCGCGCTTCTGTACCTGCTTCAGCTGCCAGCCTTACAAGCAGCTTCATGTGACTGAAAAAGTCAGCTCCCTCTAAATCCAGCAGCCGTGGTACGTGGCGCTAGAGACCTCCCCAAACGGAGGAACTGTGGCAACTCGCCACCTTTCTTCCGGTCCCTTTCGATCGTGTGGCATCCTGATGCCTCCTGGATTGATGCTGGGACTTGTCCATCCAGCTTCTCCTCCACAGTGAAGCAGAAAGAACAGCCCGGAACCATGGAGAAGCCGGAGCAGGCTCCCCGCTCGCACAGTGGTCCGCGAGCTGCCGTGGTTCCCGTGTCCTTCCTTCTGTCGCGAGTCGCATCCCCTTGTGGAACTGCGAAGCCTCGTTTGCACACCTGGGGCCCCTTTCTCTGTCCGCTGCAGGAGCTCTGGAAGGTGCGTGTGGAACCAGCACCGCGGCACGGCGCCTCTGCAGGCCGCACGCCTCGGCTGTCCCTGTGACCGTCTAATAAAACCAGAGGCTCCCGCACTGATGTGCTTGAGAGGTTGTCATTTTTTTTAATGTGGCAAACGAGCCTTTTGTGATGACGATGGTTTTCTGGAGTCTGTCAGTGCCCCCCAGTAGCAGCCAGGGAAAGATGCCGCCCCCGTCTGCCGACTGCTGACAAATGCGTTTCATACAAATACGTTTCATGCCATCGCCACAGGAGCCTCGTCTCGGTCAAGGCTGTGGGTGCCCCGTCCCTGGTTGTCTGGGCCCCTTGGGAGAAGGAGGCTGGAACTCGCCTGGCACGGCTCCTCCCCGCCTGCCCCTCGAGGTCCAGAGACCCTCCTGGCTTCTCTCCCTGTGCAGCTCCAGCGGCCCTCACCCACGCCCATGTCTCCCCAAGCACCTAGGTCCATTTCCCAAGCCTGTTATACCCGCGGTCATTGGCTTATCTGGATACCAGGGACCAGGCCTTGGCAGGTCTGAACGCATTTCATTTTCCCAACAATTCCAGGTGCGCGGCCTGGTTACACCCATTTAACAGTTGGGAAGACTGAGGCTCTAAAAGGAAAACAATCTCTGCGAGGTCAGGGACCTCCTCTGTGTATTCCTGCATATGGTCCGGCACGTGTTATCGAGTGAATCACTGAAACACGTCACTGCTGGGACAGGGTTTCCCGGTTGCAGGCTCCAGGGGCACGTGGCCACGTTTGCAGACATCTGCGGTGCTTACAGCCCAGGGAGTTGGTGTCACTGGCCAGGGGCGCTGCTAAGCATCCTGCAGTGCACAGGAAAGCCCCCCACAGCTACGACCGACCCAATCCCAAATGTTAACAGTGCCGAGGGTGAGACACTCTGACCTGGAAGAAGAACATGAGCTACTTTAGGAAAGAAAAATGGGTCTCGGCTGAACCCGGAGTGAAAGAAGGCGACTCAGGGGAATGAGCCCCCGCTCTGGGAGTGGGAAGGACAGCTGCACACATTACTTTAAACCTTATAAAGACTGTAAAAGGGAGAAGTGATCCCCCATTTTATCCATGAGAAATCTGAAGTTCAGAGAGGTTAGGCAGCTTGCCCGACATCACACAGCTGCCAAGTGGCAGAGTCAGGGTCAGAGCGCGCGCCTGTCTGCCCCCAACGCCCATGCTCCTCCCACATTCCCACCATCACCTGGGAGCTTGTCACAAGGGCAGCAATCCCCCCGGCCCAGACCCAAGTCAGAACCTGCATTCTGACAAGACGTCAGGCGACTTTGTGTGCTCAGTGGTTTTGAGAAGCATAGCCTTCGAGCTGTTCGTGTTTCACAAGGCTCCTGCACACAAACCGCCCCTGACACACTTGCCATACTCTAGCAGAGCTGCAGGTCCTGACTGGATGTATTAATAACGAGTCTTCAAAACAGAACCCCGCCAGACAGAGCCCCCAGCTGGCGATACGTCAGCACTACCGGTGGCATTTTCCTAGCACTCCTGGGGACAAGCCCATAAATGTAATTGGCACCAAGCAATAGAGTTGTCATGCCTTTCACCTGGCGCATTAGGGCGAATGCTTTTATATCTAAACCACTCGGCCTGAAAGCTGCTTCTAAGTGGAGCCCAGAATTAATCTTGATCCACCATAATTTACAGCATCATCAGATTTTCACTCCTCGGATTCAATATGTACCTTTATCACCGTGCTTTACGGCTTTGCTTGAGCCTCTGTAAGTGCTTGTTTAGCAGCAATATTTCAAAATCATCAACCCATCGTGATGTTCTTTTGGAGAATTAACCCAGGCCATTGGGCTCAATTCTTTTTTGACACGGTCTAACATTTTCAAAGAAATATATGGCCCAACGAGGAGACTTGGTTATCCAAGCCTGCACAGGAAAGACGCCACAGCCCTCCACAGTTCTCAGGTGACTGCGCAAAAGTCGTCCCGCCAAAATCCAAAATCTGACTCAGTCCCAGGTGGGGCTCAGTGCTGCAGTTTACCAGATCGCGCAGGTGACATGGTGCTGCTGGTTTAGAAACCACACTGAAGAAGGAGGCTGTGACAGGTCATTCCCGGTTAAGAGCACAAACTCGAGTCAGGCAGACCTGAGTTCCAATCCCGGCTCTGCCACAGACCAACCAGATGACCTCGGACAAATGACCGAGCCTCTCTGAGCCTCAGCTGCTTCACCTGTGAAATGGTGAGACTCCTCTCTCCCCAGAATTATTGTCAAGACTGTACTAGCGAATCCGTAAAAGATGCATGGGGACATTTTCAATAGATTGCACAAAGTGACCTTATAGAATTTTTTGGTTTGGGAGCATCTTCAATTTGAATAACGTGGCCCGCATGATTTATAAAGCTTGATTGTCACCTGCTAGAAAAACATCATGAACCATCTCCACCTATCTATAAATAAAACGGGTCCTCTCGGTTATCCTATCCTGCAGCAATAGCGGGGCGAGGAGCCAACAGGAAAAAGTCACATTGCACAGGCCTGCCTTAAATTCTAGGCTCCGTGTTATACCCAAGGGTCACTTTGGGGGACCTGGGCAGCCCACAGGACAAGTCATCCTCCTCAACGCTGACCCCCCACGTCCAACAAGACTCCCAGTGGGCTGCCAGGACAGGGAGATGCCTGGGAGTCAGCCCTGGAGTCCAAGTTCTTCATACAGAGTGAAGATGGGCTATTGTGTCTGCCACCTGTGACGAAACCCTCATGTGCAGACTGACCTAGACTCAGGGAGCCATGAGCTGGGGGCAGACCCTAGCCCTACATGACTGATAGAAAACATTGGTGGAAACCGGCTTGCCACATCTATGCTGCATCAAGGTGACCCACCCACATCTTGGCCCTCAGCTGCAGCAGCCACACATGTCCCCAGTGGATTCAGGGGCGGAGAAGCTGCGTGTAGGGTTCCAGTCCTCCCAATGGGAAGGTTCGCTGTCCTGCACCCATCTAGAAAGCCACGTAAGCATGGTATTAGATTGAAGCTACTGCGTCTCGGGAGTGTGACTGCAAATTCAAACCCACCTTCGCCACTTAGCCAGTGCACATGCCAAACAAGCAGCGACACCACGCGTGTTGGCAGCAGGCAAGGATTTCCATTCTGGATCCCAGTGCGAACCAGGGAGACCTCTCAGGGTGCCTGTTTCTCACCCAGCAGCTCAGCACAGTGCCTCGAAGTGGCCGTCAGGAGGGCTCTGCTCACCCAGCATTGCTTAGTGACTGCCCAGCAACTCTGGGGTGGCCAACTGCTAGTTTCCAGACAGCTGAACTATTAAGTGATATTTTAGTCTCTCCCGACAGATAGAAATCAACCTGATGGTTTTGCGAATTTCATACCCCTCTGTTAAAACCGCAGAGGGCCGTGCTACATGGGAAGTTAGCAGGGGCAGAGTCAGCGCCCCAGACCATGGGTCTGGGTGGTGAAAAATGCCTAGACTCTTGGGGACAGCCCCAGTTTCTGTCCCCACATGGGCACTCGTTTCTGTCAGGCCATCTGCATTCAGTAAATGGGATGTGTGTGTTGACAGCTAAACACCGATGGGATAGATGAATGGGGTGGGTAGCAGTGGAGGGAGGAACGATGCCACCGTCAGGGACTGTGGGCCACAGGAAATAAAGCTCACTGGAGTGCAGTGTGCACATAAATTAATAGAAAGATCAGTCTCTATTGATGGATAAATGCCTGGTCGAAGTAGATCACAAATCGTTTTCCACGGGTAAGACTTGGTGATTGTAAGTGGCAGATTTATAATGATTAAGATATAACTTTATTTTTGAGCTATCATTTGCAGTAAAGCTTTAATTAATGAGAACTTGGTTAATTAAACCTGCTTCCCCATCAGTCCCAGACCTCAAGGCACTGGGAGGTAAGCGTAGGACCCGAACTGGATGCAAGATCACATCCGCACCATCCCTAGACCTAACACCTGGGCAGTGAGGGGCCACCTAAGAGATGGGAGAAATTCGGAACCAGGCTCTAATGGAATGCTCGGTGGGAGATCCTGGGGAATCGAGATGGCAACAGCCAACTGTCCCAGACACTCTGCATGTGTTAGCTCAGTAAATCCTCCAACACCTACACAAGGGAGGGAGTGTCGACCCCCTTTTACAGTTGGGTAAACTAAGGCATGTGAGCAGGCCAGCTAACTCTCCCAATGTCACATAAGTGGTAACAGATGGAGCCAGGATTTGAACCCAGGCAGTCTGACTGTAGTGTCTGAGCACTTACCCACCAGGCTGTCCACTCCACGTAGTTCCCCCACCGTGGCGCAGCTTACAAATAGCAGCTCTAAGGTATGTGTGTACACACAGACCATCCCACACTGCACTGCTAAGCTTGGGTTAACTTGGGGGCAGGGTACTGGGGAAGGGGGTTGATGAGAGACTTCTTCTGCCTTTTACACTGTATACACATTTTGGTTTTATACCCAACATGGTACCTCTTAGTACCTCTACCAAGAGACACATATGAATGCAAGTGGGTCAAACCAAGCTTTTAGAATGTGGCTCAGTAGCCAATTTGGGAAAATAAAATCAGTTCTGGCCCAAAGGCTCTAAAAGACTTAGAGAAACAATCTCCCCGTGCGGAGGGCAGCTCATCCTTCCGGTGGAACTGGGCTGCAACACCAGTGCCCAGCGCGGCTCCAACGAGACCCAGATGGTCCACAGAATGAGAGGACTCCAGACCCATTATAGCCCCGCGTCATCTGATTTTCCTGGTCGGGAGCTGGCCGTGTCTAAGCCCTCGAGGAGAATGCAGCCACCGTCTGTACCAAACGCATACATTTTATCCACGTTTCTAGCCAATTACTTTTTTGCAGAGAGCGCTGATGGACATAGCAGCCAGTTGAACATAAATCCAGCCAGCACAGGGATGGGTCAAGGGGACAGCTGCTGACTCTTCCCAGTGGCTAGAGAACTCATGAGCAAGGCTGTGTGGGGGGCACTGGGGAAAGAGAGTGTATGAGTTACCTGTTTGCCATGTAACAAAACACAGTCATCCCCCTTATCTGCGGGGCCCGTGTTCTACGATGCCCCGCGGATGCCCGAAACCACGGATAGC